AAATGAAAGGCGAAAACTTGAAAGCCATGCAGAGTCTGTCAGCAGTGAGATGTTTGCTGAATGCCAGGTTTGTTGCAATCTACCTAACTCCTTTAGTTAGCTAACGATTTTCGGGCGGAGCTTTATTATCTCTTAACTGAGGTCCAGTAAAATGATTTAGTTCAGTATTACAAAAGTATTAAGCTACATCTTTGGGTGATGCAGGAATTGCTCCAAATGTTCGGCTTGCCGTATATAATTGCACCAATGGAAGCTGAAGCTCAGTGTGCTTACATGGAAATTAACAACCTTGTTGATGGAGTTGTTACTGATGATTCAGATGTCTTCCTGTTTGGGGCAAGGAATGTCTATAAAAATATATTTGATGATAGGAAGTATGTGGAAACATACCTTATGAAGGTCTAATAGTCTATCCTCTTTCTACTCTCTATTTCCCTTCAAGTTCCGTTGCTTTTCCATCTACAGCCATAAGGGAAGTCTGCTTATCTGAGCTGGATCATGCTTTTCAGTTCTTATTGTATTTCTTTTTCAGGACATCGAGTCGGAGCTTGGACTAACAAGGGAACAGTTAATTCGTATGGCTCTGCTTCTGGGGAGTGACTACACTGAAGGAATTAGGTAATAGCTGGCAAGAATATCTCACATTCTATTAAATCGTGAAAAGCGTTATGAAAGTATATAACTTAGTGGTGATTTGCGTGCTTACAATTTGCGAGCTATTGCATTTGTAACAAAGTATACAAAAACTAAATTTTCTCAATTAGTTGTTGCACTGTTCTTTCGTAGTAAGATCGTATCAAATTTGCTGTTCCACAAATCGAGTGCAAGTTCTGTTTTTTAGGAAAGGGTTGTCGTTATTTTGTTTTGTATTATTATATTAGTTCAATTTTGAAATCTTGTCTAATGAAATGCACAGATTACAAGGCTTTGTTTGAGAGGTTGCTATTTTGCATTGAAACGTATGCAAAATAAACTTATTTAGCAGCGTATGATGAATAAGAAATCATGTAGCAATCATTGTACTGATTCGCCTTCTTCAATTCTTTATATAGCACTCGCCATCTCTTAGGTACACTAGCTGTGATGCAACAAAAGTGTCGAAAAAGCTGTGATGCAACAATTCTTATCTAATCATTTTTTTGTTTGGTCCCGCTTATGCCTTTATATGCTGTAAGTGCAGTGGTATTGGCATTGTGAATGCTATTGAAGTTGTACATGCATTTCCTGAGGAAGATGGCCTCCAGCAGTTCAGAGAATGGATTGAATCACCGGATCCAGCGATATTGGGGAAATTTGATGTGGAAACCAGTGGCAGCTCAAAGAGAAGGAAATCTGGTGGAAATGAATCGTGTGAAAAAGGAAATAGCCTGGAACCTGAATGTGTTGAAGGTTCTGATAATAACCAATCTTCTAATGAGACCCAACATATCAAGGAAGTATTTATGAGTAACCATGTAAGTATGTTCTAGTTACGAGATAGCTGTTGGAACTGATTCAGTTGCTTGGTGAATATTCCTTCTGTATTTGTTTATTATGAGTATTTCTTATAGACCTGTTATTATTTCTGTATTTATCAGAGGAACGTGAGCAAGAACTGGCATATTCCTTCCACTTTTCCTAGTGAAACAGTCATCAGTGCATACATTTCTCCCCAAGTGGATGATTCAACAGAACGTTTTTCCTGGGGAAGGCCAGACTTAAGCTTGCTACGCAAGTAAGTTGTCTTCAAGAGAACAAAACTTCCCTATGAATACATTCAAGCGATCAAATGTATCCTCTGTAATGTCAACTTTCTTTAGGTTATGTTGGGAAAGGTTTGGCTGGAACAAGGAGAAAGCTGACGAACTGCTGCTTCCTGTTTTGAAAGAGTATAATAAGCATGAGGTTTGTTGTCGGTCTCAAGAATATCATCAACTGCTGCTTCCTGTATTCTAGGATACTTCGATGTTGGTTATGGGAGGTTTATGCCAAATATTAATTTCATAACTATTTGCTCTCTGGTTTGGTCGTTTCAGAAACATATATAATCCAAAATTCTGAACTTCTAGTATTAATATGTCAGAATTTCTCCCCTTTGTGTGATATTTCTGGATCTGCTGCTGGTTTGACCATATTGTGCAATACTACCATTAAACATCTGTCAGTTTAGAATGGAAGTCTGCAGGACTTTAGTGCCATTTGTCTTACATCATTTAGGGTATGATGTCTGCTTTCAATACACCAGTAGTTGTGGACTTGTGGTCTTGGTGCGTGGATTTTATTTTGCTGCAAGGACGATGATTTAACTGGGAAATTATGGTGATCAAACAAACAATATTGGTTATTTGAAACCATTGCATGATGACGTGGAATGCTTTTTCTTAAATGCAGACTCAGCTGCGCATGGAGGCATTTTATTCATTCAATGAGAGATTTGCAAAAATACGTAGCAAAAGGATTCAGAAAGCTATCAAGGGTATTACAGGGAAAACTTTCTCAGAAACGGATGAACTCAATGAGGATAGTCCCAGTACTAGTGATGCACCCAAGAAGAAAGCGGCAGGCCACTCTAGCCGTGCTAAACCAAGAGGGAAAAGGAACACCAGTGCTGAACCTAGAAACATGGGAAGTCAAGAAGATGACAAAATTGGTGATCCTAATACCTTTGCAGATGCGGATGAACTTGCGAAAGAACAGAGAAATGCCAGTAAGAAGAAGACCGCAAGCCCCTCAGTTCGTTCTAGAGGGAGAGGTCGAAAAAAGATGAATGTTCGACAAGAGACTACTAGAGATGAGGAAGATTTGGAAGTTCAAATGTCTAATTTGTCCGCGGATGAGGACTCGCATGAAAGGCACTCCGACAAATACAAATCAGAAGGAATGACAGTACGCAGGGTAAGTTCCTCTCCTTTTACGTGCCCTTTTTGTTGTCTGTGCTTATCTCACGGTTCTAGTCAAGTACTACTGCCCTGTGGACCTGAAAAGTTCATCCATACATTACCTTCTTAGCCCTGCCTGCAATCACAAATATGTGCTTCATTGTGAACGGAATCATGTGTGAACCTTTGGATGGTTTTCTTGTGTTTGCACTTGAAATGAACCTTACTATATTTGGATGTTGCTGCTGTTGTTACTGCAGTCAAACCGGAAGAGGAAACAAGTAACGTACATGGAAGATGACCACGAAGCTGATGACAATACTGCCCCCTTGCATCAAGTCGATGAAGATGACCCTAGCCAAATTGGCACTGACATTGACACAGCTGGACGAGACACGCAATCCAATCTGCTCCATCAGGATACAAGTGAACTGAACAGCAACCAGATGCACGTTGATCCAGGCAGTGCTGAAGATGTGAACGAAGATCCCTTGGGCTTTGAGCTATATGATGATCAGACTGATTCTGCACCAAAAGAATACCTTTTCACTGGAGGTGGATTCTGTGCGGAGGAGGATGAACAAGATACAGCGGTTGATCGATCTGGCGGGGAAACAGTGGATGGAACAAGTGACGCCTGTGAGGACATCGCGGGGGTTTCTGACGGTGGTAAAAGTATAGGCTTGTCGACACCGACTGGAGAGTGTGCAGAGGATGCTAGTATGGACGCCCGGGGTGCATCTTCATCGAAGCGACGCAATGCTGGCAGTGGTCTGCCCAAGATTGCCAAACGTAGGAGAAAATAACTGGCTTACTCGTAGTGTATCATGCCTGTCTGTCATTATAGCACATTCTGTTCGAGTTTATGTGTAGCTCACGTTTCGACATTTTGCTTGGCAACCCTGTAGTTCATCGCTTGCTACTACTTTGCTGTAGCTCTGTTCTCGTGTATAGTCTAAAATGCTGGTGAAATTACTGTTTAGGACGAAGGTTTTGGTTGCTTCAGGTTACAACCATCGTAGCCAGGTATCTATGATCTACTGTATGTATGTATAATTATTATGCAGACTGGTTAAGCATGGCTGGGAGGGAGGTCCTGGTGAAGTCAAATTACTCTATGAGCTGCTCCTGGGGCAAGTTGGAGATGGTATTTGGCTGAGGCGCTTCGTGCTGAAGCACTTGCTGCGCCACTTCTGTACCCGCCCGAGGGCTTGCAGTTTGATAGTTGAAACTGATTCTGACATGTGTGAACCTGTGGAAGAACAGGGACGATCACTGTGCGGAGATTCAGAGCTTAGTAAGGTTGTAGTTCCTTGGGAGTCTCCTTTCCTTGGTACCAAGGAAGGCCAAATCAACAGCACATTATTGTGCCAAGGAAGCACGCTAGAATATGAAGAGTGTATGGCCAAGGCCAAGTGCCAGCTTGTGTACTGTGGGTGGTGCAATCTGATTGTAATCTTACTTGAGGCTAATGAAGCTCTTGATTCTCAGAAGGAAAAAAATCTTGCAAACTTTGTGTAGTGTGGGTAGTGCAAAGCAGTGTTGGTCGGTCCCTCAACAAAAAAAAAAAGCAGTGTTGGTCGGTGCTTGTGCCAGCAAACTACTCCCTCCGTTTCAAATTAGTTGACCTCCATTTGTGTAGATACGGATGTATTTAAACACTAAACAAGTATATATACATTTGTATTTAGACAAATGAAAGTCAAGTAATTTGGAACGGAGGGAATACTTCCTACGGAAGTAATATAAGAGCGTTTAGATCGCTACAACCACGAGGGATCATGCGATATTTTCCGTTCCAATTTCGAATTTTGGGGTTTCTGCTTACAATTATTTAGTTCCTTCATTCTGTTTCCAAAAATATTTGGACGCCGTTTTCGTGGCTTTCTTCACACACGACAGGCAGGTCGAGCGGTCCACTGGTCCGTCAGAAATCTGCCCGTAGCACTCCGCCCCGGTCCTGGCCCGCCGTCGCCGTCGCCGTCGCGCCGCCGCCATCCCGCCGCAACTCCCTCCCAAGACTCGGACGGTCTCCCATCCGCACTCAAAGCCTTCCGAAGCGACGCCGTCGTGTCCCAAGGGCAGCTCCACTTCGCGGCGGCGCTCCTGGTGCTGGTGGATCTCTCGGTCGGAGCCACGAGCATGGCGCTCGGCGCCCGCCTCCTCCTGGGCCTCGCGCTGCTTGCGGCCCTTATCGCCGTTCTCCTCCAGCTCTACCGCCTCAGGAAGCCGGTGCGTTCGTTTTCCCCAAAATTTCCCACTTCCCAGAGTCTGAGGCAGAGCTCGCTTGTTTATCTATCCTGCGAAGCTGCTTTGCTGCTTGCAACTAATTCAGAAACGAAATTGCAGACGAGCCACTTTTTTGTTGATTAGACGTATCAATCGGCTAAGGGATTTGATCTAGACGCTAGGCATCCGTGCTGTATCACGGTTGCAACTTGTATGAGCTTATATATAGTGGAAGGGATGGGATTCAGTGTAACTGTGTAGTGGACTTCTGAATTGGGGCGCCCTTTACCTTTATCTTTGGATTTAATAAACAAGAGGATTTAAGGAACGTAGCCATTTTCAAGCTATAACTTTCTGTAGTTTGGAGGTCTAAAAAGTTTACTGAAGTTGTAACACCCTTTTTCTCTTCTCATATCTGCTGCAATGTGCAGAGGTTGTGGACACTGGAGGAGTTGTCGGTATACAATGGAACGGATGAGGGGTTGCCCATATTGCTTGGTATTTTGGGGTATTCATGCTTCTTTCTCTGCCTATATTTCTCTTCCATATGTTACTATTATAGGAACTGGGACCTTCACTCCAGTTTATTTAGTAGAAAAGAGGTTCAATCTGTTCACTTGTGAATGCTAATTCAAATAGACCTACGTATTGTTTCAGCTGTTTGTATGGTGTTTTCCCTCAGTTCCAACTTCTTGGAGTATATGTGAGCTTATCTCGCTTCTTTTTATTTGTAATGCAGCTCGGTGTTTGACGTCACAAAAGGAAGGTCACATTATGGCCCTGGAGGAGGCTATCATCACTTTTCGGGCAGGTTACTATTTTATACTTCTGCTATGTTCCAAATTCTATTGTCGTAAACACAAGATTTCAGTTTTGTAGTTTTATGTATTTCCATGCCATGTTTCGTTACCTCTATGTAAATCATGTACGTGCAATTTCAGAAATTTTCGCCTTAAAATTGAAGAGGTCCTACTTTAATGAGGTCACTGGATCCCGTAATGAACCTCAAAGCACTATTTGACTTTTGGGGGTCGAGCATTTTCCACTAGGAGTATGAGCAGTCTTAGCGCAGTTGATGGTAATTTAAACTTCTGGTGCTGGGGCAGGGGCAAACAGAGACATAGCCTAGTCTATGATAAATTTTAATTTTGGCAAATTTCAGTGAGCTTGCCTCATTTTCCTTTATTATTTTATTCTGATATTAAAACGACATTTCCTTAACAGGGACGCATCACGAGCTTTTGTTTCTGGAAATTTTACAGGTAAGATCATTCATCTTATTGCTGGTTTGTTGCATTTGGTAAATATTATTGGTGATCCTGAATTGTTGCTGGTTGTACTGAGCTGCATTTTATCTTTGGGAGCCTCCTTGACCTTCATCAAATTTACACAATCGATTTTTACTGCAAGCATCATAGTATACTACATATTTGAATTGTTTTTGGTTAGTTCAGCTGAACATCAATAGTTCATCCAACTACATATGGGACAGGGGAAACAGCAACAGAAAGCATACTATCTTTCCCTAATAATAATAAAGCACGGATTGACTCCGTGGGTTCACCGTCACAATACGCTTCTTCCCGTGAATTTACGCTTTCAGTTTTTTTCTTCAACACGTCTATATTTACTTTCTATATCCAAGGTGGTACTAATGGTGGTACTAATCTTACGGTTCGTTTCCTACGTTTGGTCATCAATCAATCGTCTGATTCCACATATCGATCGCTCGGCGTGGGCCTTCATACTTTGTGTGCTAAGTATGGGCCGGCCCAGTTAAGTAGAGGCTAAACGTGTCCTAGGTTCGTAGCTACCTTGCTCGGCCTGGGCCGCAAGTCATGTTTCCAGTTCTCGCGCAAGCCACCAAAAAATGATGCCTGAGGTGGAGATCGAACCTGTAACCTCAGGTGTCGTTTGCTAAGTCAGTAGCCAACCGGGAGAGCATATTGATGTGATGATGCGTGGATATTTTTGTTTGAATAGTCCCACCTCGCCAATTTAAACTAATTCTCACCAATTCATTTACGTTCTCAAGTTGTCTGGAACATCAACCAGCTTTCTTGGGAATCAACAAACAGACAGAGAAAACGCATCAAACAGGACTAGCCTATATAGCTGGCGGCTAGCTAGGTGCTGGGGATACAAGATTAGCATAATAAACGTTGCCTTGAGAGATATGGAAGCAGCCAGTGTAGCGGCAATACGAGATTAGCATAATAAACGTTGCCTTGAGAGAATATGGAAGCAGCCAGTGTAGCGGCCAAAAGCTAGACATAAAATCTTGATGACAAGCAGCGGCTTGACGTTGATGACAAGCAAAGAGCTGGACATGTTTGCCAGTGATGACATGCAAAGCAAAGCAGCGGGGTAGCTGAACGAGACGATGCCGATCGACGGAGCTCACTCGCCATACTACATCGATCGTGGTAGAGGATAATTACAGACAGCCATACATGAGGGACTCGATCCGGATGAGCCTGGAAAATAATTGATCGGTTATAGACTGAATTCATAAATCAAATCTTGGAAACAATCAGGGCAATAATTTTGATGTGGAATTGACGCTTCAGATGAGAAGTTCGACAGTGAAAAGCATCTATTGCACGATGCGGACATTTGCAAGGAGATGCAACGAAGAAGTAAAACCCATAGTACAAGCAGGAACAAGTACGTATTGCATTCTCTTTACTAGCTATGAGAAAAGGTAATCGTTTACTTATCAGAGATTTCCGTCCAACTCTTTTTCCTGTAACAAGATTTTCGTCCAACTTAAATCTTCAGTATTTTATCTTTACAGTCTTTCTCGTGGCACCTTTTGTTTCAACTTGACCTACAACACATGGACATGTAATTTATTTCCTCCCGTTGCAACGCACGGGCCCTTTTGCTAGTATAACTTATGGGTCATGATGATGGAGCAATATATCAGTGAAAGTACTTTGATATTAGGATCAAACTAGCAGTATTTCTCAAGGAACTGTGAAGCTAGATGTTACATAGCTTGACTTTTTTTTAAATAGGTTTGTTCTACTTGTTAACGTAACTCTATTGCTTATTGTTTTAAATTATAGCTGGTCTTCGGCAATTGTAACAAATTTTCATGTTAAATCGAGCTGCATCATGATAGTCTGGACTCACCAAAATAAGTGTTTAGATCTTTATATTTTTCTAAAATTAAGGTGAGAATTTCTAGCCTTGAGAGTGAAATCATGTTTTAGTCGTACACTAGATATTATATTTATTCTGCACTTCTGCATTAGCCCCATTGCTTTATCAAGGATCTTACATATGTATCGTCTCTTCAGAACCCGTGCTTGTCTTAACTGTCTAGTACACCATTCTATCTCAACTACCTAGAAAGCTGCTCAAGGTGGTTAAATTTACCTGACTTTTTAAATCAGGAGTGGCCTGCTGGGGACAAAAATGAGGAAAATAAGTCGCATATCAGGTTAATGTATTTGCATCCTTGAGATATGACATTTGGATCCAAGCTGGGATAGAAGGGCTTGGATCAGTAGCTAAATAATCATAAAATCAATAGGGAGGTTTGGTTGAAAATCAACACATAAGAGTACTGAATCAAGAAAAAAAATCATAAAATTATGTTAGTTGATTCAGCCTCTGTATAGTGAAGAGAGGTGGCGGTGATATCACTGCAGTCGTAGATAACATGGAATTTACTTTTTTCCTTATTTATTTTCTTGTCAGCCAACTAAATTTCAGCTACCCGTATCGAATTGCCAAATAGGATGCACTTTCACACTGTTCCTTTTTAATATGTTTGAACTGTCACTGGCGGTAATTGTTGTGTACATCCATCAAAAATAAAAGAAAACCATCATAGTGACAAAGTTCATATGAACTGGCAATAGAATAAGAGTGAAGTGCATTCTAGGTCCTCGAACTATTTTGAAGGTGTCATGTAGGTCCTTAAACTATGAAAAGTGTCATCTACGTCCTTTAAAATTCTTGAAGTGTAATAAGTGGGTACATATGTGACACCTCCGAAATAGTTCAAGGACCTACATGACACATTTGAAATAGTTTGAGGACCAGGATGACACTTATATTGCACTTTGAGGACCTGGATAATGATTTTCATAGTTTGAGGACCTACGTGACACCTCTAAAATAGTTCGAGGACCTATGATGCACTTCACTCATAGAATAACCACTTTTGTGCTTCAACAGGTGATGGGCTGACAGATTCTTTGCAGGGTTTATCTAGCATGGAGGTACAAGCATATCTTACCAATGATTTAATTGTATTCATAATGTCTGTATGGCTTACAACTTCTCTGTAGAGCTACTGAGCTAAGATTATCAGAGTGATGTTGTTAGAGAACAACTACAGTCAAGCATGCACTACCAATTATTTATTCATAATATTTGTACAACTTAAAATTTATCTTTAGAGCTAGATGATCAAAGATAAAGATGATTAGTATTAGTATAGTTAAGAAGTACTAGATGGTTAAGAATATTAACAACTTCAATTATAATGCGTACAATGGAGTTTAAGGCCTTTTGCTTCAAATTTCAACATACTACTTAGTCAGTTACTGAACCTGTTTCTTATGTTGATGTTATTAATAGTTGGATCTTTCTTCTTACTTGTCATTGCATGAAAGTAGCTCATAGGTGCCAATGTGTAGAAAATATGTATGTCAACGCTGAATTACTGAGTGAATAATGAAAAGATCGGCAGGTCGCTACAATCTTAGGCGTGTGTTATATTTTATTGAGTAGTACTGATGAAGGCCGGTAACTTGGTACACTGACTGAAGTACTGAACATAACAGACATTCTAACAAACATATTTATTTTATTCTAGAGGTGTTCCCTTCCTTGTTGCTGAATTGTTTAATCTTATAGGGTTTTCACTTTTATTCAGGTAAATAGCATTGTTGACTGGAGGAAATTTTACGTTGAGAGATACATGTGAGTTTTTTTCATTGCTGGTTGATCAAAGTTTATTTTTATTGCTCTAAAAAAAAGTTTGTTTTTATTTTGTATTGTTGCTTGCTGGATATGAATAGTTCATTTAAGATGGCATCATCTGCATCCGTTGTTATTTTCCTTCCATTCTAAAGTATGAGAGAATCATCTGATCTCTATTATGTTCAATGTTTGAACGTTTTTTTTTCTAAAACCTGTTACTCATGTTGTTTTGCTTATGTTAGTACCTATATGCCCGTGCAATGTGAAACATGTTATTTTGTTGTGGATCATTTGATAAAAGCTTACCTGGTATATGATGTATCCTTGGTAATATCCTAAACATATATTGCAGATTTGCTGGTAAAATTGTTGGACGCTACTACGACAGCGAGGGCAATCCTACAAAATATCTGAAGGGTGTGGAGATGAAGGCAAAAAGGGGTGCTCAGCTTCTTGAGAAGCAGAAGAGGGAGGAAGATAAAATACCCAGCTGTAATTCAAAATGGAGCGAAGCAGAGGGTGGAGAAGTAAGCAACCCATTCAACTCATTTCTATCGCTGCTGCTCTCAGTGTACTCAATATTTCTTAAATGGCTCGTGAATAATTTGGTTCTGACCTAAATTCATGGAATTTGCATTAGCGGGAGCATGCTAACTGCTAAGTGCCGGGCTGCCGGCAGTTCTGCATACAAACATATTGCACCTGGTAGTGGTAGGGCAGTAGTGATTTAGGGCTTATTATGACTCTTGCGGGTAACCTTCCAGGAATCCATTTCGGGTCAGTTGCTCCTGGCATTCGCCACGAGTGACGGTTTTGTACTAACCTCATAGGTCATAGTGTAACAACCATTGCTCGGCCTGACAATGGTCGAGTTTCAGCAAGCTGGCTCCAAGATGAGTCATGTGGCAATATATAGCAAATGAAATAGCACAAGAAATCACTTGTATTGATGAGAATTAACAAACGACTTTGTGCAACATGTTGACACTGCTCACAAAACCCAGTGCCTGTGGGGCTACTGTCCCACTGTAGCGACCATATCTTCGATGGCTGCTTGGCAGTGGACACTTGCTGAACCTAGTATGCCGGTGCTCCTCGGTAGATGTGGAACCTATGACTTGTGGCTTTCCTGGGGGGCCTGCTAGTGATAGGCCCATAAATTCGTTAGTAGTATATGTAGATGTAGAACCTTAGTAGCTTTGTCTTCCCTGGGGGCTTGCTAGGCCCATAAATTCGATATGAGCATATCATGGTGTCATCGGTCGAATTTATTACTGGCTGAAGCATTTCCACATAACACGGAGTACAGAGTTGAACTAGAATGTGTCAGTTACCCCCACAGCAGTGTCTGAAGGAAGTACGTAGTTTGGAACAACATCGCATTTGGTTAACCCTTGGTTAAACCTGACGATTTCTGAAGGTTTTGTTATTACTGGCGTGCAGGTTTGGTGCGAGACAGGGTACCCAAGGTTAGTGAGGAGGCCGGGCGACATAGCTCTGACGGGGCAGGTGAGCCAGCGGTGCGCCTGTTTCCAGGAGGGGGAGCTCGGGCGGCCGGGGCTAGTGGTGTACGAAGGCTGTGATTACCACTCCACATCGTGCATAGTCAAGTAGCAGCAGTAGTAGTAGAATCTACGCCTCTCTTTCTCCATGCATGCAGTTTTTTGCCCCTGGCTTTTACTCATTGTAATAATACGGTAGTAAGTAAGCAGATCCAAAGGCACCAGCCACGCATCATGATGATCTCTGTGGGTATCCGGTGCAATCGTGTTGCTTCTGAAGCCAAGATATGCCATCGATTGGGGAGGTTACTTGCGGTCAAATCATTTCGAGAGCGAGGTGTGTATACAGGGGAGAGGAGGCCCGGGTGTCCATGATGTTCATGATATTCGCAGCTGCCATGGGGCCTTGGGCCTTGCGTATCGATTGTTTGACGCGGTCTGCTCGCTGTGTTCACAATGCAGTCAAGGATATATGGTTAAGTCAAGTGTACTGTTCATCTTTGATCCATGCGCCTCACCAAGACTATTGGTGTTTTTATGTAGTCCAAGATATGCCACGACATGTTTGGCAGCAAGAGCGCAACTTTGACGATGGGCTCGTTTGTACCTCTGACCTTTAGACTTTAGTCGCCGAAAAAAAACTCTGACCTGTTTCTCTAGTTTTTGCGTGGTCTATGTATGACAGTATTGAGACTTCCCAACGATATACTGTACTTTGGCCTGCATGATAGGGCAAAGGAGCATTTTCCTTTTATGGAGCTTGGATCCACGACAAACAAAAACAAGCATACCATGCCATACCATCTCTCGCTACAACGACCGTGAGCTTTCGGATATGCTCGCTTGTCGATCTTTTTCTGTCTGTCGAACAAGGAAGGGCACAAGCACAACACAAGATTTGTTTAACAGACACATATACAGTTCTGCTGCTGCACTGCACAGTGGGGCCTTGCCAATGCCAATGCCATTACCACAGGCTGTCGTCACCCCATTACTCCCGGTCCGCCGGCAGGCCCCACGCACCGCACGAAGCACCCCTCCCTCCTCCCCCTCGCCCGGTGTCGAAGGCAGACATGGCCGAATTATTCACGGGGGAGAGGTAGGGGATGTGTGGCACCTGCATCACTGCGCTGCGCCTGCGCCTGCGGTGGCTGCACGCATCGCCTTTCTTTCTTCGAGCAGGGGCAAGGAGGGCCGGTGCATGATGCGTCACACCATATGGATATGGGGGCGTGGCAGGGCTTGCATTCCCCATGGCATCATGGTTGGTGGTGGTACTGTGTCTCTCTCTCTACACACACACACACCGGGCGCTGCACTAGTCTCTGCTGCATGATTTTCCCGTGGAAGGAAGGAAACATATGCGCATATGCTCAGGTTTTTTTCCCCACTGTTTTGACTCATCTGGCAAACTTTAGCACGATTTGACCCGCTTTTGAAACTTTTTTCGTATCTGACCCAAACCGAGACGCCAACATCCATGGCGTTCTGCTTGCACTGAAGACGCCGCGGACCCTGGCGTTTGGCACTGGCCCACCTCCCTGGCCAGCAGTTTGACCGTCCGACGTGGCAAAGGGGTAAACGCCATGGCCCTTGGCGTTTACCCCTGGAGAGCAGAAAACCGGCCCGAGCCGGCTCGGGTGCAGCCCAACCCATCCAGACGCAGAGGCGTCTTCCTTCTCGCGGCGGCGGCTACAGAAGCTCCGCTTCTCTCTTCCCCTCACCCAAATCAACCCCAAATCACTTATTCTCTTCATCAAAAGTGTGGATCTGAGCCTCCCCATCTTCCTTGAGGTATTCTCCACCAGATCCTCCGATTATTTTGGGTTCAAAACTTGTATTTTGGCAGCATTAATTCATACTTGTTAGAACCCTAGGATTCGTATTCTTTGCACTTTTTTGAGAAAGGGGAGCCCATGGCTTGGTCATGTAGGTATGTTGTATACTTTAGAAGAGTTGGCATGTGTTTATATGGTAGGATTGGGAAGAGAAGGCATTTGTGATAGGGTTGGGCATTTTAATTTTAGTTGCTATGTATATGGATTTAGATAGATGATTGCTTGAAATCTAATTCTAACATATTTGTGTATTTTGTATGCTTGATTCTCATTGAGATATGGTCATATAATTAGGATGTTATATTGAGACTTTGTTATGTTGTGTTGCCATTGAAATTTTGTCATATATAGATAATTGGTCTTGTTATCTTGACATTGAGATATGTTGCCCCATGCATTCAGATTTTGTCATATATAGATAAACAGGTTTTATTATGTTGCCATTGAGATATGCATTTATGTTGATGTTGTTATGCCAAATATATGATATGTAGGATGTTATATAGTGTTATGTATGTTTCATTTGTTCATGCTTGATTTGTAGGATGGCGGGGGAACGGTGGTAGGACGGTCTTCATAAAGGGTACGACAAAGAGCATCGTGCGCGGGACATTGAGAATAACGGGGTAAGACTCAATCTATTTGAATTCTTGGTTATTACTTGTCAGTTTTGCTAGGCAGGCACTAACCATAATGCAATGCTATTTTGCAGGAACTAACACCTATGCGCATGAGGGGTCATAGTACCCACGACTGGCCGTGCGACGAGCGGTATGAGCCATACTTCGAGAGATTGGGCCTTCTCCCGTTCGTGCTTCAGTTCAAGCGACATGCTCCGTCGATCAACCATGGGGCGATGACCACACTTATTGACCGTTGGAGGCCAGAGACACACTCGTTCCACTTGTCATGTGGAGAGATGACCGTGACCTTGGAGGACATGGCGATGATCAGTGGCCTTCCAATCAATGGAGAAGCTTTGACCGGCACCACCGTAAGTGCTAATTGGCGAGATCGTGTTGGCCAATTGACAGGTGTTTTCCCCGAGCCTCCTGAAGAAGGCGAGCGTGACAGTGAGAAAGTGTTGCATCATTGGCTCCGAGGGGAGAGAGGAGTAGTATGCCATCCGGACGCCAATGAGGTTGTTGTGCAGCAGCACGCCCGAGCATATCTGTGGTATCTGTTAACGAGGGTAGTGTTTCCAGATTCTACCGGTAATAAAGCCCAGTGGATATTCTTGGACCTACTAAGTGACTGGGACCGTAAGTACAGTTGGGGTTCAGGAGCACTAGCATACTTATATCGTCAGGTAATTAGTAACCAAATTGTCAATTTGTTTGCATTTGCAATTTCGCGGACCTCTTATCAACAATTTCTGAATTTGCAGCTCGACGAGGCATGTCGTAGGAAGAAGGGCACATCTGGTATGGGTGGCTTTGTTTGGTGCCTTCAGGTTTGGATGTGGGAGCGGATGCCCGTTGGGCGCCCCGAGAAAAACAAGACACCTCCTGAAGGATGGGTCGCACATGACGGGAGGTATGGAGAAGATCCTTGGCGGTTTCCGACCGTCGCCTACTGTTGGAAGATGGCGAATGTGTACACAGGCAGCTCGGTTGCGCGATACAAATGCTACATCAACGAGCTGGATATGTTGACTCATAAGCAGGTAATGATAACCTACGTAAGAGCACATCAATTGTGATGGAACCGTGTACTTAACTAGTATCATCTTGTGTTGTAGGTCGATTGGATGCCATATGATGCCGATTATGCTTTCCGGCTGAACGAGATGTGCACACGTGACAGGAATATTTGGCGGGCGAGATGCCCACTGATATGCTTCTATGATGTCGAGTGGCACTACCCAGACCGTGTCGCAAGACAATTTGGGAGAAGGCAAGGGACACCAAGGGATGAGAGTTTCGAGACAAGCCAATTTCTGCATCTGTGAGATAGTTGTAGCTTTGGATATATAGTAGAGCATTATGAAATACATTTCTTGCTAATGCTTTCATCTTGTACATAATTTGCAGAATTAGTCGAAAGAATAACCCGGAAACTTCGACTTGGGCCATCAAGCACTCCGAGTGGATAGATTTGTGGAATCAAAGAGTGGCCCTAGTGGTGAAGGAAAGAAGACAACATAGTGATTCAGTATACGAAGAGCATATGAAGTGGCTTGCGGGACGTTACCGGTTGAAGCTAAAGCCCGGTTGGAACCGTTCGGAATTGGAAGAGTTGGATCGTGAGAGCGGGTATATGGACTTCAATGTACAAACGAGAGACAACGAAGGGACACAACTTGACTATGCACAACTACACGACCGAGTGGTATGCTCCACACAATTAGAACCTACTTCGAGTGCATTTAAATGTACTTCAAAGATAATTTTCGTGATCTTCATTTTGCAGGGCTTGGAGTTATTGCATTGTGTTAACGAGGCTGGTGTAGCACTTGGTGAAGATGAGGGAAGTGGATCATCTGAGAAATCTCTTAGGAAAACAATGAAGGTATATGTTACCTCTATTCAAAAACCTCCATCTTTGCACACTTTTGACTTAGTCTAGTATTGCATCTTTGTTATGTTGCAGAGTTTCGTGAGTCGATTCCACAAGATGGCAGCTATGCTCTCTTGCCATGGAAGTAAAGCCGTCCTCACGACTGGAGCTTCTACTAGCCGGGACAATAGACGGCGTCGTCGTCTTGTCTTGCAACAGGAACAACAAGAGCAGCAACTGCAAGAAGAGCCAGAGCAAGAGGAGGCGCGGCAAGATGAAGAGGAGTACAATCAAGACGAAGAGGAGGTGCTTGGGATGTCCCAAATGGATGATGTGCCTGAGCCATCACAGCCCACACAACGCACGCCGCGCAGCAAAAGAGGAAGGAAGAAGTGAATTAGTTAACACTAGATTCTCGCGAACTTTGTTATGTTTGATTCGTGAACTTTGTTATGTTTGATTCGTGAACTTTAGAAGTGGTGTGAACTTTGCTACCTGGACTTGTGTTTAATTTGCACTTATGGAGTGCACTTTGCTACCTTCATGTTGTTGTGTTGCTATGATGGCGTGAACTATGGTACCTTATTGCTGCCATCCTGGAAATATTGCTTAGTTTTGCTGTCATTTTTGCTCTTATGCTTAGTTTTGCTGTCATCCTTGCTGTTATGTTGTCATCCTTACGTTTTGCTGTTATGTTGAAGTTTCTGTACAGGCTAGATGAGCCACAGCAATTCCACCTTTCTGGATATGGCCAAAACTTAGATCCATGACAAATCCCAAATTAGAACAAACTTTTTGGAAACTCGTAAATAAACGGTCTCAAATTCGTGACATATAACATAACTTAGATCCACGACATAGTTCAACTGACATACACAGTATAAACTTTTACGGACATAGTTCAAATGACATACAACATCACTTAGTTCCATGACATAGAACATCACATAGTTCAACCCCTCGAGTTCTTCTTGTGTGAATTCTCTTTCTTATTTTTCTTCTGTGAATCATTCTTTTTCTTCTTCTTGCTTGCATTGGCCCCATCTGGCACCGAGGAACTTGGGTCAGTAGGTAGCATCGAGGAGCTTGGGTCGATATATAGCAGCGATAAGTCGGGCTCATAATCTAGCGGGATATGTTCCAATTTAATGTCATTGTTTGGTCCAGGGTTGCAATAGATGACACCCGGTATTTCAAGAACCCAATCCCAACGAGCAGCCTGGGTCGGTATCGGGGACATAGCTTCATTGATTGCCCAGTCAATGATTTGTCCAGGCCTATTCAAGTCCATCTGACGATATTCTAGCATAGTTGCATAAAATGCGATTTGCCTACCTAGATCACTTCTACAATCAAGTTCAGCCCTTTCCATCTCGGCAATTTTTTTTCTGTTTCAGCGATGACATTATCTGCGTCATCAGAAAAATATAACCATGCAGAGTTCCTCGCAGCTTCATTCCTTGCATCGCAACTATTCACCCACAGAGTCATCTTTTCTTTAATGAGTTTGCGGTTCTTTTCATCCACCGCATCCATATATTTCTCAATGAAAACCATCTTTGCATCATTATTAAGTGCCATTCCTACAAGAGTGACCTAACATTAAAATGCAACTCTATAAAGAAGTATGTAACTCTATCACTAATCATAAGCATAACAACTAGGGTAATCCTAATCCTAATCCTAACCCAAATCATAAGCATAACACTAGGAGCATGCATACTACACCAACTAAATTCATTAGGCTAAAGCTAACAACACCGTATAAAACACTACATATGTACCCTTTTTTTGCAAAGGATTTGCAAAAAAAAAGCTAGGGTTTGAAATAATCCACTAACTGTGATGGATTGAACCAAACAAATCATGGGGGTGTAATGGATTTACCTCAATGGTAGTAAATGACTTCGATCCAACGGTCAAATGGGACTGATTTATGAGAGATTTGAGGGGGGGTTTGGTTGGGGAGAGAGAGCGTGGGGGCAGCAGCTCGGGGTTGTGGGGTTGTGAGGTTGAAGAATGAGTTATGGAGTGGGCCCACAAGGCCTTATAATCTGCAAAAGGACCAAAACGCCACCGACCTTGGCGTCTAGGTGGGCAGAGGGGCAACCGCAGATTTACATTTCTGTATAGGGCCTAAACGCCGTGGTTTCTGGCGTCTGGGCAGAGGTCCAAACGCCTTGATTCCTGGCATCTAGGTGGGCAGAGGAGCAACCACAGAATTACCTCTCTGGTTACGGCCTAAACGCCGTGGTCTCTGGCGTCTGGGGCAGAGGTGTAGACGCCGTGATCTCTGGCGTCTAGGTGTGCAGAGGAGCAACCACACATTTTCCTCTCTGGTTAGGGCCTAAACGCCATGGTTTCTGGCGTCTTGGCAGAACAGAGCATTTCTAGCATCTGGGCAGAACAGAGCATTTCTGGCGTCTGATATATGACAATTTTGTTGCACAATTCACCACATGGACAACTAATAAGAAAGTTCCCATCAAATAGCATAACGTAGGTTCATTACATAGTGTCCATCAAATAGCATAACTTAGGTTCATTACATAGTTCCAATCAAATAGCATAACTTAGGTTCATTACATAGTTCCCATCAAATAGCATAATAGGTCCATGACATAGTTCATCACAAATTCATGATACAATCCTCAAATAGCACATTCAAGTCTTTATTGGGTCACACGCAACCATTTCCCCTTCTTGTCGCGTGCCTCATCCTCCTCTTGTGCATCGCGAGCCCTCGCAAGCTTTCTTGCCCTCTCCTCTTGACGAGCTGCCTTCTCTTTGCGCGCCCTCTCCTCCTCATGCTTCTTCCGCTCCTTCCTCTCCCTCTCACGACGTTCCTCGTCCTCGGCTCTCTGTAAGGATTCTTCAAACCGTCGCTGTCTCCTAAGGCAATCTTGAAGTTGGTCTTTGTGGACATCTTCTGGCACTTCATGATCTATCCATGTGAAGTACTTGCAAAGAGGAGGAGGTGACTACACACAAAACAAGTTTTTGTTAGTAATATAAAATGAATCATAATGGAGAATAGCCTACTTTTCTAACATACCGGTGGGATGTCATAGGCGTTAGTGGGACGCGCGCGATCATGTGCATAGTTGGGACACACAAAATATCTTCTTCCTTCCGTCCACGACTTCTTCCGGTCAGTGGAGACCTTCACCTTGCACTCATCTGCACACCAACATGAAGGGGTTTTCACATCCTTCTCCTTTGTCTTGTCCAACCTTGCCTCCTCCCACTTGTTCGGCATGTCCGCTTGGTCAGCGCACCGTGGCCTCGTCGTGGAACCGGATAAAGCCATGCCTATGAGAAGAAGAATTGTTAGAAAATTACACGAACAAACTTAATGCAAAAAAACACAATACAAGAAAACAAGAAAAGAATGAACAAATATTTACCATTCAAAATTGGTCAACCATTTGGATTATGCAAATAACCAAACGCCGACCCGTTATCAGTCCTCCGTACTCTTGTACCACCACCGGAACCACCTCTACGAGCACCACTACTACCCCCTCTAGGGCCTCCATTAGCACCACCTCTACCACGTTGTCCACTCCTAGCACCTCCTCTAGGGCCTCTAGCAGCACCGGAACCACCTCT